TTTGGCAAGTGGTTACCTAATTGGGAAGGACCATACCAAATCCATAGGGTCTTGCCTGGGGGAGCCCACCATTTGAGAAATCTAAATGGATGTATATCCCAGGAAAATTAATGGCAGATACTTGAAACCTTATTACTTAGCTGTATGGGAGACATAAGGAGCTTAAGAGATGTTGATGGAAAACAGTAAACACTTATGTAAATAATGATGTTTTATTTCACAAAACTTTGCGTACATCATGCCATAAATTGGCCCATAAGTCATTATAATGTTTCAATTGTTCCTTTACAACTAGTTCTTTACTCTTAAATGATAAGAACAATTGTATAGTTGTACTCATCTCCTGCCTACGGCTTCTTAGCCCCTGATGGGTAGTCTGTATCCTCCCTGTATTCTGCTTTAAGGCTAGGTTGACTGCTACTAATTCCTTCTCTAATTCTGCCTTCCTTTGCAAGAGATGAGCTTGAAGTTGAGAAGCAGAGGAGTGTTGTTCCTTCAGCACTGATACCTCAGAATGGATATGGGAAACAAACTCCATATCTTTTATTAGCTCTTTTTCTATGGCCTTAGCCATTTGACAAATGTTAATATAGAAGTCAATAGTAGCTGTTGCTTGAGATAATGTTTCTAAAAGCCACACTAGATTGCTTACGGACTTGGTAGCATTTCAGGAATCCATTCTTAATGGTTGGTTTTTACGACTTCACATTAACGATGTACAGTAAATGCAAGCCATGGTTTCTCACTTTTACGATTTTTTTTTTGCATGTCATAAACAATTTCGAAATCACGATGTGTCTATTGAGTAGGTCGTGAATGTTAATAACAATGATTTTCTTACGGCTTTCCATGTTAGCCGTAAATAATAAAATTTTCTATGACGTGTATAAAGCATGCCATTAATACATCAACTATACACGACAAACATACACAAGCTGTTAAAAATATTGAACATTTCACAGTGCACAAAAAGACAACCGTTAAAAATTGTACATTTCACAACACACAAAAAGTTGGCTGTTTAAAATATTACACTTTTCACGACATGTAATTACTGTCGTGAAAGGTATAACAAAAAAACAAAAAAAGTAAAGCGCCAAAGTGAAAAATTTGAGCGTCAAACACCAAACAATAAAAAAAATGGAAAATGAGTGAGAGCACTAATTAGTGCTACTACTAATAATGTGGCAGTAAGTCCCACTATGAACGATTTGATATTTTGGTCTTGATGTGATATTTTTTTTCTCTTTTTATTAGGTATCATATCATTAATAATCTTTTTTAGAATTTCAAAATTAGTGTACTCTAACATTATTGAAAAAAAAATATCAACCAAAAGCCCCAGCGATTTGGCTCAATCAGCATCCTCTCTCTCTCTCTCTCACTCTCACTCTCCATCTATTTCTTTCTCTCTCTATTCACACTCATACAAACACAAAGCCTAGGCCACTATTCAACCAAGAAATCGATTTTCATGATGAAGACGAAGAAGTTGTCTGGTAGAGCACTGGTGATTCTGGGTAGAGCTTCACCAACCCAATTTGCTTCTAATGATACTGCTACTAGCCCTAATGCTCAGTTTTGGCTCAACAATCTGAGTTCGCAACTGGGTTCCAGAAAGAAGGCCAAGCGAAAGGGTAGGGGCAGGGGTCAGAAATCGAGGTCTGGTCTTGGTGTTCGAAGAGGGTTTAAAGGTGGTCAGATGCCTCTTTATCGATGAATTCCCAAGCTCAGAGGAATTGCTGGAGGTAATTTTAGTCACTTTCTCTATTCCCATTGTATATGCTTGCATGTATATTTTTATATGTGTTTTTGTTGCTCAAAGTGATTTTGGATTGTGATTGTAGGTGCAAAATTTCAATAGATTTGACTCTGTGTGTTTAATTTCATTGCTTATATGGGATAGTGAATATGTTTATCATGCACACCATTTGTTTGGGGAAATGTGTCATTGGGTTTTTTTTTTTGGATTCAAATGAAGAGATAAAAACCAGATTACACAGATAGAGTCTTGGGGATCTTAATCCCTTCTAGTGCCAACATTTATCATGTCAGCAGTTAACAAAGAGAGAATAGAACCAGGAGGGTCTTCCTTAAATATGAGGTGCCTTTTTGTGTCTTGGAAATTATGTTGTCCAATATATTATACAGCTTAAGATCCCTTCAGCTACTGCCAGCTTGATTTCTCAGTTTGAAGGCCATTACGTTTACCTATCCATATAAAAATTCAGCAGCCATGTGGTTGAAAAATGCCTAAAGTTCTTTGAAGAGAGCCGCCCAATTGGTGACTAATCAACACCAATATTTTATCTCTAAAAATGTTGAAATAACATTGGGGTACACGTGCATAAACTGCTCTCTATATGCATGTGCGCAAGTGCTTCTTTCTCTGTGTTTATAGTTGAGGGGATCTTGGTGTAGTAACCCTTAACTTATTTTTTTTTTGGCTGATTTAATAGTGTTTTTTCAACTGAAACGTTTTACCTTTTATGCAACTAGTCTTAGAATAATTAACCCTTTGTTAATTTAAAAAGTGTTTGGTTGTAGTCTAAGAAGCACGGATACGGATACGGGATACGGGTACGATACGATACGGATACTGCGATACGGCAAAATTCGAAAAAGTAGGATACGGATACGGCGGGGATACGTTCATAAAAAATATTTTGTTTCACAATTTTTAGTAATGTAGCATACACAAAAATAAAACTTCAACAATTTTTAGTAAACAAATAAAACAAAACAATAATGTAGCATCACCTATAACAACCATAATGCATCATCCATAACAAAAAGTTCATCAATTCAATTAAATTTCAACAATTTTAACAATATAACATCACCCATAACAACCATAATGCAATTCAATCCCAAATTAAGGGGGAAAAAATTTGCAAAGTTCATTTATTTATCAATAAGTTTATTTATGTATTTATTAATAAGTGTTTTTTTACCTTATTTGATTTATTAATAAGTTTACAAAGTTTATAATTTTATAAGTTGACAAATTTTATTTTTAATCAGTTTATTTATTTACTAATAAGTTTTTTTACCTTATTTTATTTATTTATTTATTTATTAATAAGTTTATTTATTTATTTGTTTTTTTACCTTATTTGTTTTATTTGTTTTATTTATTTGTTTGTTTTATTTAAACCGAATAATATATATAAGTTTTTTTTGTTTTTTTAAAATCTTGTTTGATTTGCAAATCGCAGAGTATACATTCAACAATTAAAAAAAAATTTTAAAAAAATAAAATAAAGACAGATGAGATGAGATCGAGTCGAGAGGGGGGAGGGGATGAGATCGAGTCGCGATCTCCAACCAGACAGACAGATCGAACTCGAGAGAGAGAGAGTTCGTGAGATCGCGACTCGAGAGGGGGGAGGGGATGAGAGGGAGACAGAGGGAGCGAAAGGGAGAGAGAGAGGGACGAACCTCAAAGCCGATCGTGGAGCTCCTGTCTGATCGACGATCGGCGACTGCTGTCCGAGACAACGACGAACTCCTCCTCCTCCTCCTTCGCGGCTGCTGTTTGACCCAGGTAAGAGAGAGTTTGGTTCTTGTGTTTGGTTCGACCTTGGTTTGACCTAGCTGTACGAAGAACTCTATATTTTGTGTTTCATTTTATATTTTTTTCATATTTTACAATTTGACCCCAATTTAAAGGTTTTAAATTATTTTTTTGCCCCGCCGTATCCATACCGTATCTTGACCGTATCCTTACCGTATCCTCGCGTATCCGAAATTCAAAAATTAAAAAAAAAAATTGGATACTCCATTTCCCGTATCTGATACGTATCCCGCCGTATCGGGCGCGTATCCGTATCCGATACGTATCCGATACGCGTACGGGAGCTATTTCGGAGTATCTGTGCTTCATAGAATACCATGTTTACAAAGATTGAAATTACAATGACTCAATGAGGATAAAGGAAAATTCTCATCACTCTGTTAATGTCATTAACCCAAAAAATAATGCAAAAAAAAAGGTGCTTAACAATCAATAATCCTCTAAGAATAAGAAAAAGACTAAATTACCCTCAAGCACTAATAAATACTTCTCTTGATAGTGACCATATTGGACGCCAACACCTGACAAGCAGGCCTTGAGAGCGGGATTTTTAAACAAGACACACTTGAGAAGCATAGGCAAGCTACTTTCCATCCCTTAGACACAAAACTTGAACGTTTGAAGAAAAATGATTTAGGAACTGATGATTAAAAATCAAAATAATGTGATTTACATCTGTTAATTCTTCGTCATTAGGCTTTTTCAATTTTTAAGTTCTACAAGTCTAAAACTTGCAATTTATTTGTGGAAGCTCACTTATGTCTTTTTTGGGGAGCTTTTTGTGTATTTGACCTGCTAATAACCTATTACTATGACCAGTGTAGTGAATAATACTAACAATCTGAATGTCAATTTGTTTGTGGAAGCTCACTTCTAACCAAGGTTCTGAAAAGTTGTTGCGGTCGCCGTAATGGTGGCGGTGGCGCGGTTGCGGTTGCGGGGTGTAAAGGCCGTAGCGTAACGGTTGCAGTAATCGGAACCGTGAATTTTTTTATTTTTAGCACAATTTAAAAAAAACTTACCGATATGCATATTTTTTTTTCCATGATCATATTTATTGGGTTTAAAATAAATATTAATCAATTTTTGTAAATTTTTAAGTATGATTCAATATATTTTATATTTTTAAATCACTGTAAACTGAGTTTTTTACATTTTATTGTAATAATTAATGACTTTATATTATATAAAAAATCCATCATTAACTATTATATATAAAATATACAATGACAAAAGAGAATAAATAAGAGCCTAAATATATATATACATATTTTAACCAAGCCAAATCGATAATGACCACATTATTTTTTATTATTATTATTATTATTATTATTATTATTATTATCAAACAATATATAGATAGACACACACAAACAAAATGGTTGAGTGATAGCAGCTGAACAGAATAGCATAGGTTTTACAGTTTCAACAAATTAATAATATGTTCATCATCTTCCCTCTTCTCTCTCTATCTCTTGCTCCTCCTTCTCTCTTTATCTTCCCACTTCTCTCTATCCTTCTTCCAGCATTTTTAGTTTTGTTTTTTGTGTTTTTTTGAAAGAAACAGTTCGGAACCATTACGTAACGGTGCGTAACAGGTCGTTACGACTGTTACCGTTACGACCGCCACGGCAGCCGCTACAACCGACACACCTATGAATCTTAATCACACTGCAAAAGCGGCCATAACGGGTGGCGGTAACCACCAAAACTGTTACGTAATGGCGTTACGTAACGGTTGCGGCCGCTTTTTAAAACCTTGCTTCTAACTTTTTTTGGTGCTCTTAAATCCTGTTGCAGAGTATTCCCTTTTTATCGTCTCTTCTCAAGCGCATCGATCGGCTTTTGCAATTTGACAGGTGTATTCACTCTCTGAGTAATGGATAGAATGAATTATATCAACTTATACCTGTAATTGATTGCATGTATATGGAATGGCATGTACCAGGCTTATGCCAAGCTACAATGGTATCTTGATGATCAGCTGCATCCGAACATTAACTCAAGTCGCACTGAAGCTTTCTGAATTCATCCCTCTTGTAAGTATTTTCCCCTTCCTCTCACAATACTTGCAAAATGGTTTTTTACTTCTTACCTCTGTTTCTGGTTCAGGATCGTGTGATTGAACTAATCAAACCATTTCGGGATTTAAAGACAATGTGGCAAGTCAGAATTGAAGCAAGTGAAGCTCTCCTTGATCTTGAGTTCCACTGTAAAGGCATTAATGTGGCATTAATGTTGTTCATTAAATACTTAGAAGAAGAGCCATCCTTGAGAGGTATTACTCTACTCTCTTTAATTAGATGAATCTTCTTTCCCCTGGTTCAATTGCCCCTTACCAATGAGTTGCTTTGTTCTATTCTTGCCAAAATTTTGGTTCTCGATTACAGGGCAGGCGAAGTTGGGTCACCATGTTACGCGTCTATGCCAGATAAGAAGTGGATCTGATTCTGATGACGATATAAAGAGTGAAACTCTTGTGTCTTTACTCCGTCTGCTTGAAAGTCCTATGGCATTCAACAATGTTAATCTTCGACACTATTTGTTTTGCGTGTTACAAGTCCTTTCAGGAAGGTAATCAAACTATCATTACCCTCAAAATACTAAAATATCTACAACTCAACATTTTTATTGAGGTATTTCAGTGATTTGATAATTCATAACTTTATGATAATGTTTCTTTGGTCATGGTTGATTGTAACTAGTGAAATAACTTATTATATTCGGAAGTCGGTGTCGATTCACCATATTGGTCCATAATTGCTCTTTTTATCATCATTTGAGTCGTCCCAAGGTTTATTTTATAATTCCAAAAAAATTGGAAAGAGCATTCTAAATGCTTATGTGAAACCCACAATGTAAGACTACATTGTTTATAGTTTTACATTATATAACTCCAATGTAACACATTTTACGTAGTGAAAGAAGAAATTGTGTATTTTAACAATATTTGTTTTCTTTAAACATCTGTAAATGAATTTATTCTGAAGAGTATTGAAGGCCTAGATTTTAACATTCAGATGAAATGTGTAGACATATATAGTTATATATATATAATCGTTTGTTGATATTGTTTTACTTTTCCAAAACTGGCGTCAGTAAGGTAAAGTGAAGTGTTGTTTAATCGATGGTGGTTGTAGATGCCAGTGTTTTACTTCTGCATCAATGTTCCTAAACTTGAACTCTGATCTTTTTTCAGGCCCCCGACACTTTACGGAGTCCCAAGAGATGAAACTATGCGAATGGGCCATGCAGAGACTTGCAGTGAACTGAAAAATATTTTTGCAGCTCTTGTTAAGCAATCAAAGCCTGTGGAGCCTCCCATGGATGCCCCTAATATATTACACATGGAGCCTACTGTGGACATCTCTAACCCATCACCAAATACGTACCATACTATGGACATCCCTGACTTCCCATGTCCAGACCCTACTGCAGACATGTCTAACCTATCACAACCTGAGCCCACTGTGGACATTATTAACCTAACACAACCTGAGCCCAATGTGGACATTCTTAACGTATCACAACCTGAGCCCACTGTGGACATTATTAACCTAACACAACCTGAGCCCAATGTGGACATTCTTAACGTATCACAACCTGAGCCCACTGTGGACATTATTAACCTAACACAACCTGAGCCCAATGTGGACATTCTTAACGTATCACAACCTGAGCCCACTGTGGACATTCTTAACCCATCACATCTAGAGCCTACTGCAGATCCTCTCGTGCATACTCCTAACTTCTCACATGACGGTTTAGTTATTCCGGAAGCTTCCAAGGAAGCTGACACTGTTTCAAACAGTCATGAGCGGAGGAAACCAGTGGTTAAGATTCGGGTCAAACAATCTGTGGCATCAAGTAGAGCTGAAGATGTTGATAATGCAACGGTTGAAAAATCTCTAGGCGGGCATAATGATGCTGATCATGGGCCGAGCAGTTCTATTTCTGTGGACGCACCCCAAAGAAATTTTGTTGAGGCTGTGAGCGTAAGCAATCAAAATCTTGAAGAAGTCAACTCGTGTCATGATCCTGGTTCCCGGATGACTGCCAGCATTGGCAGTGCCAAACTTGCGAGCGGTGATGAACTCGGAAAGGAACTCCAGTGCACTGCGGACTCTAGCAAAGTTTCCACGCTCCCTCAAACTGATGATCGATCTTCACCAAGTATCGCAAAGGATAACGGAGGGACGACTAAAATGCAAAAATATGTTAGTCTTCAAACCCTTTCTGTCACAAGACACGGTGTTGATAGTGTTTCATTGGACACTCATTCGCATGGGAAGGAGAGAGCAAAGAAGAAAGACAAGGAGAAGAAACGGAAACGGGATGACCGCAAAGGTCGCCGAGACGATCCAGAGTATTTAGAACAGAAACGGTTGAAGAAGGAGAAGAAGCAGAAGAAAAAAGAGATGGCAAAGGTATCTTCTTTGGTAGATTTGCAAAATACGAAAGGTAAACCCCAAACAAAATTGATAATGTTTGGTGAGGAAGCAAAGAAAGTTGAATTTGAAACTAGGTTAACAACAATGGTGAGCCAAGAGGCTAAATCATCATCGGTGGAGATTCAAGGTAAGGAACAAATTGTGCAATTGAATGCGGGCGACACCGGTGGTGGATCGAATTTAGTGACAAAGATGATGGATAGCCGAGCTGACGCATCGGAAGCAAGTTCTTCCCACAAATTTCGAATTAAAATTAAAAACCGAACGCTCAACAAATCGTAATGAATGCAATTTTGAGGTCTTATTGGAATTGAAACTTCTAATGAGTTGTATATGTTCATATTTTTGGGCATGTGTGTAGAAGTAGGTGGTAGTGTGAGAAACTGCTTGTATTGATGGCTAATATTATCAATCCAAAGGTGATATTGTTTCTTGTTGTCTATTGTTTAATTTATCTTTGTTTTTAATTTTGAAAGTGAACTTTTCAAATTTGAGGTTATTTAGTGGGTGGTGCAAAATTGCGAAAGTAAAGTTTTCTTGCTTTGTGGGGGAAATGACAATGTAACAAATGAAGAGTATATTGAAGGTGAATTTTGAGAGATTGATCAAGTAAGTCTTATATTTTGGATTTGAAATTTATATAGTTTTATATTTTTTATTGTGATTTATATTTTTTTATTGTGATCTATTTGCATACAAGAAACTAAGTGAATGGGAGAGAAAGTTAGGAAAATTAAGGATACTGGTTTTAAACTATATTATAGTGGTAAGAATAGATGCAGGAATGGGGTAGGAATCATAATTGTCAAGGGTCTTGTGGAAATTGTAGTGGCGGTCACTAGGAAAGGAGATAGGATTATGCTAGTTAAACTAGTTATTGGAAGGAATATAGTGAACATTATTAGCGCATACGCCCCTCAAGTAGGATTAGATGATCAGACTCAGGGATTTTTGGGAGTAAATGGATGAGATCTTACAGGAGATACTCGTAGGAGAGAACTTGGTTATAGGTGGAGATTTTAATGGCCATGTGGGTATAGATAAACTAGGTTATGAAAGGGTGCATGGTGGATACGGTTTTGGTGACAAAAATGAGGCTGGAGAGAGTATCTTAGATTTTGCGTTGGTTTCTGACCTAGTGGTGGCCAATACTATGTATAAGAAGAGGGAGGAGCATTTGATAACCTTTAAGAGTGGATTAATTAAGAGTCAAATAGATTACTTATTAGTGAGAAAAGTGGACCGCCTAAAATGCAATGATTGTAAGGTGATTCCTGGAGAGAGTCTAATATCTCAACATAGGATTTTGGTACTAGATTTATGTTTTAGAGGGCAATACCAAGCTAAGAAGGATGGTGGGCGTCGTAGGACGAGATGGTGGGACCTAAAAGGGGATAAACTAAAAATATTTAAGAATTGAATGGATAAGGAAGGTACTTGGGACTTAGAAGGTGATGCTAACACTATGTGGAACTCGATAGCCAATTGTATGAGGAGAATCTCAAGGGAAGTGCTCGGAGAGTCGAAAGGAACGAGACCCAGCTCTAGGAAAACTTGGTGGTGGAGAGAAGAGGTTCAAGCGGTAGTTAAGGCAAAAAAGAGTGCTTTAAAAAGTGGCAGAAGGATAGAACTGAGGAAAACCTTAAGAGTTATAGATTAGCTAATAAGGAGGTCAAGAAAGTAGTGAGAGAGACCAAGTTGAAAGTATATGATGACCTATACACTAGACTAGATAGTAAGGAGGGAGAGAAGAGGGTATACAAACTTGCTAAGATACGAGAGAGGAAAACAAGAGATTTTAATCAAATAAAGTACATCAAAAGTGAGGATTCTAAGGTATTGGTGAAGGATGATGAGATTAAGGAAAGATGGAAGAATTATTTTGAGAAACTATTAAATGAGGAACATGGAGGTACGACAATAAGGGAATAAATAACTAGTAACATGATAAACCAAGACTATAGGTTCTATCGCAGGATCAGGAACTTTGAAGTGGAAATTGCACTTAAGAAAATGAAATCAAATAAGGCTTTAGGACCCGATGATATCCCTATTGAAGCTTGGAAGTGTTTGGGTAAAAAGGGAGTTGGTTGGTTGACTAGGTTGTTTAGCAAAATTTTGTTGACTAGGAACATGCCAGATGAGTGGAGGAAGAGTATTTTAGTACCAATCTATAAGAATAAAGGTGATGTCCAGAATTGTAACAACTATAGAGGAATCAAGCTAATGTGTCATATAATGAAAGTGTGAGAGAGGGTGATGGAACGCCGATTGCGAAATATAACAGAGGTGTCAGGGAATCAATTTGGGTTTATGCTTGGTAGGTCAACAATGTAAACGATCTATCTTTTGAGGAGAGTAATAGAAAAGTATAAAGAAAAGAAAAGAGACATTCATATGGTGTTTATCGACTTTGAGAAAGCATATGACAGAGTGCCCCGAGATATAATATGGTGAGTGTTAGAGAAGAAATGGGTGACAAAAGGTTACATTGATGTGATTAGGGACATGTATGAAGGGGTGGTGACCACTATTAGATTGCCAGCTGGAGAGACAAATGAATTTTCTATCACTGTAGGGTTATACCAATGATCTACCTTAAGTCCTTATCTTTTTACTTTAGTTATGGACGAATTGACGATAAATATGCAAGATGACGTGCTATGGTGCATGCTTTTTGCAGACGATATTGTACTAGTGGATGAGACTAGAAAAGGAGTTAACACAAAGTTAGAGATTTGGAGAAAAACTCTTAAATCTAAAGGATTCCGGATAAGCAGAACTAAGACAGAATACATGGAGTGTAAATTTAGTAACAGTAACAATGAAAGCAGAAGAGAAGTGAAGATTGAGAACCTAGAATTGCCTAAGAGTGAACATTTTCGTTATTTAGGGTCGATTATCACAACAGCGGGAGAGATTGATGCAGATGTGGCTCATAGGATTCAGGCGGGATGGTGTAAGTGGAGAAGTGCGTCTGGGGTATTGTGCGATAAACGAATACCCACTAGACTAAAAGGTAAGTTTTATAAAACGGCTATTAGACCAGCTATGTTGTATAGGACGGAGTGTTGGGCAACCAAGAAACAAAGTGTAGATAAGATGAGTGTGGCTGAGATGAGGATGCTAAGGTGGATGTGCGGTAAGACTAGACAAGACAGGATTATGAATGAGTGTATTCGGAAATGGGTAGGAGTAGCACCAACAGAAGATAAGTTGAGAGAAAATCGTTTGAGATGGTTTGGTCATATTCAACGGAGACCAACAGAGGTAGTGGTGAAGAGATGCGATGCTGTAACGGTAGATGGAAGTGTTAGGGGACAGGGTAGGCCTAGATTAACGTTGACTAGCGTTTTAAATAGAGATATGAATCTACTTAATTTAACTAATGAAATGGCCTTTGATAGGGCCGCGTGGAGAAGAAGGATTCATGTAACCGACCCCATTTGATGGGACTTAAGGCTTGGTTTGTTTGGTTGGTTGGTTGGAAAGCTTGACCTGTATGTTTGATTGAGTTCTCAAAAACGTGTTTCAAGAAAAAATTTCTAAAAAATAAAAAATTAGTTTTATGAAAAAAAAAAAAAAAAAGAAATCAAAAGTACTTATCATTTTTATATAATTTTATCTTTTTTGAGGGCATAAATAATTTTTAAAAATAAAATTTTTTTATGTTTATTTTTGTCAAACTAATTTCTATTTTTATCAAACTAATAGTTTCAAAAAATCAAACCAAACATGACCTTAATATTTATGAATTGGGCTAGTTACCAAAACCTTTAAATGTTAATGAGGGAAAAAACTTCAATGTAACAATGATACCACATCATCATCGGTATCATCATCTAATAATATCTCAACATTTACATTATATGCATATGTTGCAAGGTACTTTTACTTGAAAACTAGATATTCTTCCCTCCAATATAACGTTTATTATTTATTAGTGATACCATATCATTGGTATCATCATTATATTAAGTTTTTACTCGTTATTAAAACAGACTTGGTACAAATTAGTTGGTAATTACATTATACCTAAATTATCTAATTTCTAAAATAACCCAATTTATGCTTCTAGAAATTTTTATAACTTGTTTTCTTTTTTTTTTCTATTTTTGAAAAATTATAAAGTAATTTGACAAAAATAATACTAAAAAATAAAAAAATTGAATCTTTAAAATTTATTTCCAGCTGAAAAGGAGAAAATCATATAAAAATAATCATTTTTATCCCATGAAACAATTTTTTATTTTTAATTTTTGAAAACTCAACCAAATAAATTTTAAACATTGCTTTCTATGGATGGTTGAAAGCAATATGAATTTGGTAACATTGGAGGAGAAAATAAAAAATTGCAGATTCGAGATGTGACCTGTACCAAACTAATGGAAATCAGATCTAGTAGCATTATTCTACAATTGATGTGGATGAACATAGACCTCTTAGGTCAAGTTTGACATGCTTGAAAAGACAAAAAGTCAAAAAGTTACTATCCTATTTAAGTCATATCATCTTATTTAAGTCACATCACCTCTCTA